CTATCAAAATAAATACATCAGAACTAATAAGGTTTAAAAAGATACCAAGTTCTTAAGTCCTCCTTTGCATGTAGTTAATTTGAGTGTTACAAGGCATGCAAACAGAAATGCATGAGGTGTAGGCAGAAGATGCCTTCTCCACAAATGCTCAGTGAAAAAGTCTGAATTGCTGGTTCCCAGGCTTAAAGCCAAACCCAATCTGTCACCAGAGATGTATCTTTGCAACTCTTTCTAACACCTGATCTTATCTGATGCACTTTAACAAGTTCATATCTTAGCTGTGTATTTCTATTGAGACAACTGTATCCTTAAGGCCTAACCTTCATTCCTCACACAGAAATGACATGATGAGTATCATCATCCCGCTTTTGTCTTACAGCTTTGTGATGAGAAATATTATGATATACTGCCTCCAGATGCACAAGTCTGAGTACTGGATATTGTTATTTGTCATGGAAGCACTATACCTGACACAGAGCTGCTACTCAGTGCCAATGCACAGGGACAATGTACAGAACAGACTCTGGTAGCCTGGATTTTCAGAACTGCAGCCTCTGCACCTGAGAAACTGTAAAGCCTGTCTTTGAAATTACCAACTCATTCGTAATTTGGCTCTTTATGAGAAAAAAATAAAAATAAAAATCACAAGCATTGAAGGTATTTCAATCTTTAAGTGAGCTGATAATACCTGTTAACATGGGTACAAACTCCTAATACAGAAACACAATGGGTATAAACAGAATTCTGAGCCAGAACAGCATTAGAAATGCAAACTACCAGCTCCAAATCCAACAGACAAATTTGCCATCCCTGCTTGTCCCATGCAGTACCAAATGAGAACGATACCAGCTGGATCCAACTTAGTTCATTTTTGGACTCTGCACTCTGTCCCAAAGAGAAAGAAGTGAGGGCCCCATGGGCCAGAATAGAGAACAGAGCCAACACCAGTAAGGACAAAGGTGACTGCCTGCAGGGGGATGAAAAGATAGTGTTATTTGGGAACATATGAGGAGACAACATAGAAAAGGTACAGGGTGGAAGCAGCAACACTTAACAGCAAGAAAAAGCTTAGAAAACACAGGTGTAGAAATCAAACATTCCTCTCTCATCCAGCACACTAAGAAAGGTAATGAGCTTATTTAGGGTGGATTCTTTCACCTTCTTAAGATGCATAAGGGACATGTCCTTTTATGAAAAACAAATGAACAGGACCCATCATCAGATCTGGTACAGCAAATCCTTCGTGCAATTATCCTTCAAAATCAGTGCGGCATCCCGGTTAATCTGCAATGTGCAATCATTACAAATCTTCCTGTGCTCTTTGTTTTGGCTATAACAAGGCCTTCATGAATGGGCCGCTCACTGATTCATCAAGTCTAGTCTGTAACGTGCTATTTTTACTTTATTTTTAATAAAATAATTTGCTTTTTATCTTGAGATTGCCTTTCCAATCCGGCTCTGGCTCCTGAACTGTGCTAAAGAACACGGGATCCACTAGAGGAAACATACAAAAAGAAGAAACAAAGGAAAAGTCTAAGGGTTCTTGAGGACGGAAAAGTTAGCAGCAAGTGGGAGAAAATCAGCTCTACATGAGGCAGCTGTGGCCATACATTCCACCTCTGGGGGAAACTTGCCACCTCAAGTTTATTTTCTTTCAATTCCAAAAAACTTTTTGTGTATCAAGGAGCAACAGAGACTGCGCTCCCCATAACAAGCAGGACAAAAGGTCCATTGTGATTACAATTAAATTAGCAAATGGCAAAAAAATTAAGCAACATTCCAAGCATTTTAGTGTGTTGCATGGGGCTACTTTCGGTGGATACGAACGCATGAAAAGGCCTTTCCAGCCTGAACCACTGGATGAATGCACAGGGTACTCTATAATCATAAGCCCTTGTGCTTCTGGCAGTGATGGGTGCAAAATCCAAGGCAAGCTTTTAGTAATGCTATTGATATGTTAATAGCTGCTGCCTAAAATGCACAGTGTATAAGAGCAGTTACAATCTACATTTAATAACACCTAATTCTTCACTATTTTAGCAGTCTTTGACCTATTTATTGATCTTCATAGTATCAAGATACACCAGCATTTGAGAGACAAGTTTTTCCTACTTCTTTCATGCTCAGCCGGAGAACTGGAACTCCAGCATCTTGCCCTTGCCCTGTACAGTCAGAACTGGTCTACAGTGAATAACAAGACTTCATAACTTCATGCTTGAGCTATGAATTCAACAGAAAACAAAACACGTGGTTTGACATTTTAAATAGTTTAATGTTTGGTAGAGTCTTGCATTAGTGGGAAAGAACAGTAACATCAACGTTATAATCACTGCTGCATTTCTTCACTCTTCGTTTACTGGGGGGTCTTTTCTCTTGTCAGGAAAAACATCAGCTCCAGAGGGGTTAAGAGCAGTTTAAAAAAAAACACAACAGCAGACAGGCTAGTACTGTTCTACAAAATGAAGTCATGTCCAGTGAATAGAGCTGATTAAGAATAAATGACAAACTGCTGGTAGCTTCTGTACACTGTCCCACACTAACAGTGTTAGAATTTTAATGAGAGGTAAAACGAGTCTAAGAAGCATATACTACCCTTTTTTCTTCCCTAGGAATAAGAAAGTAGGTTCTACGCATTTAGATAGCAACTTTCCTCAAAGAGATTCATTGACATGTGATCAGATAAGTGTCTTAGATGAACAGGAGACATTGCTGTAAGGCTTAACAAGGACATTCTCAGTAAGAACTGGATAGGATCTAGATCTTGTTTCCACACAGCCCTGCCAGATTGCCAGATGTAACTATCCTTAAAATAAACTGCAAGATATGCATCTCCCTCTTGACACCCCTATGTACAGTACTGCTACTGCAAGGAGCAAAGCTAACAAAGGTCACTTTCATATCTGAAACAAGGTTATATCTGCAGGAAGGTTACTGAACACAAGTTAAAGTCTGCACTTTGGAATGGAGATTGTATAGCATAGCAAAGTAAAACTCTCATGAATACATTTGTTTTTATATTTTGCTTTAGGATAGAGAGCAACTGAGGCAGAGAATTAAATAAAGATTAGTTATACAGAAAGCTTCCCTCCAATGAATCCCTTTTGACATGACACATAGAAGGACACCGTAATGCATGTATAACACCTCTAGAACTCCATGCAAGTGATTTCTCAAAACCATTTAAATTTACTACTCACCCCCAAGATTCAGAAGCTCCCTCATAGTGGAGACAGAACCAATATATCAGTTATATAAAGCTAAGAAATACAAGACAGCATTATATAGCTCCAAACCTTTGTATCCAGACAAAAGAAAAAAAAAGAAAAAAAACCTGATCTGCTTATTTCACAAGCTTGCCACAAATTGCTAGAGATCATTCTATCATCTTTGTGACATGCTAAAATAACCACTGATTGATTTCAGACTTCAAATTGGACTACAGAAGGAAAACCATATCAACAAACAAAGTAATGTTGGGAAACATAATAGAAACAAGGAGTTACATTAACTGCACAGACCAACGCATTCACTTTATACACCAAAAATATATATATATATTTTATATCTGTATTATATATCTGTATATATCTGTATTGCAGACAACGTGCAATCATGTAGTCTGGGAATAAATAAAAAAAAAAAAAAAAAAAAAAATCCTAAATACAGAGATGGACAGGAAATTTCTATGCAAATTCTGTAATACTTTCAAGGGATATAAAATGGTCAAGAGACAACTTGACCCTAAAACTGCACAATCAATGCCAGCTGCAGAGGTCCTCTTCTTTCCTTATTTTCATGGATATAGCAAAGAAGTGGAAACGTATTTACACATGATCTGCCTTCTAATTCCTAACCTTTTACTGAAGTGCAAGCATTTTATGTTTTGTACACAGATGCTAAAAGTACTCCTTACAGAGGATAAATCTCAAACTTGCTGAGCATAGAGGCAATGTGGGAAAGAGAAGCAAAGCAGAAGAAATAAGACAAACAGTTCTCAGAACAGAGTATCCCTTCACAAACTGTTCTTGCTTCTTCACAAATAATGCATTGGATTTCCATTTGAACAACCAAAAGCTTGAGTGCATATGACTTTTTTTTTTTGTATTTGGTGCCCAGTGTTTATCTGATTGCCTAAGATTTCATTTTCATGGTCCAGCTGCCTCTGTGCCAAGGTTTATCACTGCTGCTTTTGTGCCCATTTACTCAGGTTAACTTGGCATTTGTTTTCCTGCACACTGAAGAGTCACGGTGAGAAGCTCTGTCACATTTTGTTTCTTTTAAAGGGCGAGATGCTGAGTACCTGCCATCCACCCCCTCAGAACGGAGCTGTCAGTCACCCCAGGCTCTCTTAGGATGTTTTTTTAAAGGATTCTTTTTTAAGGATTCATCTGCCGTACCAAAATATAAATGGTTCATACAAATTTTGGAATTCAACAGAAATTTCCCTCAAACATTCGGAAGCATTCAGAAATAACTTACCCAAGAAAGATACCAGAACATAAAAAGGCACCAATGTTTCTGAGCACTCAGGACGAGCATTTCAACATTATTCCATTTACTGGCCCTGCATCTTTTTATACTTTGGTTAAGTTAATGAAGACACTTAGAGGGAATGTGCAGCGAACACATACTGAAGCCACTGGGAAAACTTGTCTTGTAATGTAACTCTCATTGCCCAAGGATTGCAATGAAAGAAAAAACTTGTAGCATTTCCTTATCCACAGGTATTAAACTATAGTGAATGGCTATTAAATTATTTGCATCTCTAAAGTAATTCCCACATAGTTCACTAGCTGTTCAGCTTCTCTATAGCACTACTGACAGCGCTTTACATTTTTTTTGTGTCTTTTTTTGGGTATGGGAAAAAAAGAATGGTAATAGAATAAAACTCAAGCAATTGATCATCACAATAGACAAACCCATTGAGTCTGTTTACAATGAAGTAGAAATCTCAAATACAAATAGCCTTAGTTTAAAAAACAACAAACAACAGCATTCAATGAAGGTAAAAAGTAAATACTTTTTAATACGTACTTAAGTCACAGTATTTGTTTTGAGATCTTTACACCAGGTGACATTTTCATTGCATTCTCAAAGTATTTTCTAAGAGCCTGTCTAAATACTGAAGGGGCAGACCTTAACTAAGGGAAAACAAAAACTGTGCTGACAAACATAAAGCTAATGATCAGCATTCTTTCCACTCATTTATATCAATGTTTGTACAAGTATTTTCCAAAATTTAAAAGCCATCATAATAAACAAATGAAATCACACATTTCTTTGTTTTGTTTTTTTTTGTTTTGTTTTCTTTTTGCAGACCTTACCTGACGTCAGTACAGTGTAATCATCATCTAATCTTACACATTTTAGGTTTAGGTCATTTTCACATCCTGTATCATTGCGGCAAAAAAAAAAAAAAAATCATTAAGGAAAAACAATCATTTAATGTGATCTCTGTTAGAAAAGAAAACATTACAAAAGAACAGCTACTGATCAGAGCATACTGAAATGAAGATGACCTGGTACACTAATGGGATTTTTGTTATCAGCTATCCAGATTTAAAGAGATTATTCAAGACAAAACTCAAGAACTTGATGTGTGAAAACAGCTGATAAAGTATTAACTGTGTCTGGTAACAGGTTACACAGCACATACACACGTTGGTGCTTTTTGCAGTATTTATTTGCAAGACTGTCACACTGAGATTTCTCCTTCCACAATAAATTATTTACTATTATACAGTGTATAGAACAATGGTGAAACATTTCTTGACAACTCAGAAGACAGACATACTGCAAAAGTCCGCGTCTCTGAAAATGAGAAGTGGAGACAACAGCCTCCTTGCATCTTCATTAGCTAGATCCTTTCTCCTGTTTGGCAACAGAATCTTCCACAGGAGTAGCTCCCAAATCTTTGCTCGACTTCTCCTCTTCATTTTCATCCTCTTGAGGGTAAAGATCTGGGTATTTTTGCATGCATTCCTGCATAGCACGGAATTGGTCCACACAGTCTGATCCCTTTATTTCTTCTGTGCTATAGTGGAAACAAGAAAAGGCTGACTTGAACTGTTCCCCACAGGGACCACTAGCCATTCCACCCAGACATGGGCAGTTCCAATTGATATCTCCATTGGGCAATATCAATCCTGAACAAATAGAAGAGAGAAGTAAAGTTAAGTGCTCCATTCAATAAATTAATTACATTCAACGAAAGCTGCTAAGAAGTATTAAGAATACCGTAGGAGTTCTGTAGCTTCAGGAGTGCACAACACCTTCCATTTCCTGGACTGTTTACTTCACTCTCTGATCTTTATGATCCATCATTGGGCACAAGTTAGAATAGTTCTGTATCTTTGCCTGAATTAAGTCTTTTTCCACTTGCCAGGCTCTGTCAGAGAGGCATGCGAGCCTTAAAATCATGTAACGTAAGAACTTAATTCCTGTATTAAGATTAGAATTCTTTTGAATCAAGCTGGATGAATGCTTTTTCATTGTTTTAAATGAACATAAGACATAAGGTTATGGCATACCTACATGATAAATCTATTCTTCTCCAGATATAACCATTCTCTATACTGTACAGTAGAAAAAGATCAGGAGAGGCACGATGGCAGATCATGACACAAAACTTGAACACTGGAAGTCAAGCATTCTATTAAAGTAGAAGCTAAACAAGAAAAGTCTGTCTGTGACTTTATACACAACAAAGTCCCTTCCAATTGTCTCTTAATAAAATCCATGAGTCAGAGCTTCTGCAATTCAACATACTCTAGAATGCTTTGCCCATATGTCCTTCCTGCCTGCAGTTTTCTCTCCCATTAGATGTGGCTCTTTCTGTGACGTTGTTTTGATCTGCAGCTCTGCAGCCTGATGCTGTTCAAGTGAGAAGTTTTCAGGGAGCCCTTAAAACATGGCAGTAAGTAACCACATGCTAAGAATAAGCTTATTACAGTATTTAAACACGGAGTTTATTGTTCTGAATCATACAGTTACACAATTTCACTGCAAGGTGTCCCTGATGTAACTAGCTTCTGGCTTTCTATTTCTTCTGTAGTTTAGAAAGGTGATCTAACATGCTATAAATAGAGAATGGATAATAAAAAAGAACTATCACCTTCATTCTTCACCACAGCCTTTCAACACCTTGCAAAATACACATATGAGGAATGAATTAATAAGTCATTCAAACAAGGAGGAAGTGCTTCCTTTAATTTTTACGAGCTTATTACCCAGACAAATGGCACAGTACACTATAATCATTGCATATGTACAACCAGAGAAAGAACAACTTGGGACAGGGTGTCAAAGAGAGAAAAGAGAGAAACCCCTCTTCACAGGCATCAAAAGAATTGATTTTGAATCTTGATAGCATGTATCTGTATTATGTTAGATTTGAGACAGGCACTCTTTCATCTCAAAATCCTGTATCAAAAATAGCTGTTTTAGTTCCAGGACCAATACGTACCCACATGCTGTTGCTAGATCAACAGCTTTTGTTAACAGAATACAATACTTTAATTATCTCCAAAGAAAGACCATGAATGATTATAAGGGGAAAGACAAGCAAACTCGGAATGACCACATGTAACATCAACACAGCTTGCATGTATGCATTTACTTAGCCAAACAGGAGGCTACTTTGTTTAGTCATATACACACCACACAAAGTGACTCAACAGTTCAGTGAATGATAAACTCTCTAAGGCTTTGTATGCTCTCCAGATGTGGTTTCTAGAAGGAAAAAAAAAGGTTTTTCCTCCTCCATTTTGCAAGCAGTCTCCAGTTTTTCAGAGGAAGCAGGAAAGCACAGAAAAGCAACTGTGAACTTAATGATGCCATCTGATCATTAGAGGTCGTTAGCTCTTCACTTAACAGACCAATAATGGATTTAAAATCTGACAGGAATTAAAAATTCAGATTTTGCTATATTTCTACACACCGTACAGATCAGAGTAAATACTTTTCAAGTTATGCCTCCTCAGACACTGCTTTCCACAAACCATTTGCATGTTTCATCTTCCACCCAAGGCAGTAAAAGATACCATTTGGATTCTATTGCCTGTAAGTGCCTCCGTGAAATTCTCAACAGCTGAAGCACCACTGCCACGACAAAAGCAATGCTAAAGCCCAAAGCAGAGACTGCTTCCATTAAATAGGCAGGTTAGTCACAGCATCACAGTGACACAACTTCTCTGAAAATAGGAGATGGAGGAATTCCTGGCAGATATTAAACTGCAGCTTCTAAAAATCTTCCTGAAATAAGACACAGGGACTTGGGAAAGGCTTAGGGGAAAGCAGAGAAAAGAATAACATTTTTTCTCATCTCAGGTTGAAGGTTGTCAGGTTACCTACTTGTCAACCCTACCATACAGTCAAAAAGACAGTGAAGGTTATTGCAAAGCCTGAATTAGGCAGCACACATCCTTTACTACAAGAAGATATTTCTGTCTCTGTAAGTACAACTGAAGCTATGCTTAACGAAACAAAGTTATGAAAACCAAGTTATTTTAATGACATAAATTAGAACTACGTAGTACATCAGCTAACAAAGCATCCCTTTGCGCTGCACAGCTGCTAAACTGCGCTTAAATACTGCCCTCTGGGGGTCACAGAGCCACTTGCTTCCAGTTTCTAAGAAAATTTCAGCCTCAGCTGATGTGAAAGCAATGAAATCATACAAAATGACAAGGCTAAATGGCATAGAAGTATAAAGAAAATAAGAAAAAAAATCTAAATTCACAGACATTCAGAACATTTTATTAACACAGGCAAAACTTACTTCATCCTGACAGAAAACAAGGTATTTCATCACTAGAAACAACCTAAAATATGCTTTGTGCAACCAAAGTATCACCAGTCATCCAGAAATACTCTGATCTCTTTAGTCTCTTGAACTAGTTCATTTGCAGGTTGAATATACTGTGTGAGAACTGTAAGTATCATTTAAAACTTGAAACTTGCCTCTTCTCAAGGCAAGATCCTTACAGCTGAAAGCTGTAATTTGAACTTACCTGTCATGAAATTAAAAGATTACTGATTATTTTACCACTTGTACAGTACAGAATAAGTCATATATGTATAATTTACACTAAGTAGGATACTCAGAGATCACCAAGTTGGGCAATTTGTGCTGCACAGAGGCAGGCAACAAACTCCTAGCAATGACAGTGGCATGTAACTCACTTCAGCCACCTTGAAGATGGCACTTAAGTCATTTGAGGTAGTTAAAAAAGACAATCAGAATGGCTCTAAGTATGTTAATACAAGAAAAGACCATTTTTTTCCAAATATTTCACTGATATACATGAACAGGCGACTTTGAAAGACTATCCAAAAGAAAAAGAAAACATATTTGGAAAGTATGCCATTTGTGCTGTCCTAATGTGGAAGTTAAGACTGGGAGGAGTCTGACTCTATACTCACTAAACAGTTTTCTAAGTTTACTGAATAAAGTGTTTATTTGCTGAAACCACTGCCCTACTATCTCAGTCTTTAAAAATGAATTAATATCATTAGGATTCGTGGTGCATCAATCTCTACTTCCATTCTGTTCAACTACTGACCTTGTTCTTCATAAGGGTCATCTGGATCGTCTGCAACCAGTTCAGCACTGCTTGGGGTCTCATGGTCCTCCTTAGTCACGAATATAATTTTGTCTTTTCCTGTCATGTAGGAGACAATAAGCAAAAGATCAGGAAAGGCCGAGACTAAGCAACCTACAGAGAGGCCAACCAGAACACAGTAATGAGATACTCAACACGATGCCCTCATGTTAATATTGAATGAATTGAGCATCTTCAATTACAAGTTGCTGGTTCACAGGGACATGTATATACAGACAAACGAGAAAGTATTCACAGGGAAAGTACTTAAAGTTATAAAAAGACCTGGAAATAAGACCTAGGAGAAAGTCAAAGTATGCTTAAAAAGATCAAGTAGCAATTTATCTAGGAGAACAGCAAATAAAACTGATCCTGTTGTCTTTGTACCACACTCATGTAACTGTAGGAAGTTATTCTCAATATTCAGTAGGAACTGAACAGAAAACTGGACAGAAACTATCAAATTCTTTCCCTCTTAAGTTCCACTTCTCACAGTAAAGTACTGTAACAGCTGTAAATCTCTGTTCAGTTCACTGAACAGCGAGGTTAAAAAGCTGTTTTAAAATAATCTCAAACTACTGCTCTCTTAGGAGAACAAACTCGGCTGAAGGGGCTGGACAGAAAAGGACCCAAAGTGAAAGGAAAAACTCTCCTGAGCTACAGAAAGTGTTCGGCAGGATACTCATTAAGATCCGCAGTCTCCATTACAGAGTCATGCCATAATTTACAATAATTATGTGAATTAAACACTGAAGGGCACTTTAATGGTCTAGAACAGGCTATGTTGAAAGGTGCTGTGAACATTACCCAGGGCAGAAAAACAGCAAAGCGTACTTCCTGCTCTTGTGCCACTCTTGATTTAACAAAGTAGGTACGAAGGGGGTGGGGGGGGAAGGGTTGGCTGACAACCAGGGCAAAGTTTACCAACAACTCTGTAAGGCTGTAAAAAAACCGCTCAAAGGCAAACACAAGCAGAAAAGTACATCAAGTACATCTAACAGAAACTTTTCTGAATGCACAGCTCAGCATTCATTGACTGGAATGAGCTCCCCAATCACTTCCTTTCAATCTCCAAATTCAGAAAGGCCACTACAATGACAAAGCATGTTACAAATTAGCATCCTGTTGTCCTTCAACATGACTCCACCAGAAAACGTTCAGTAATTCCCTCTGCTTTGCATTCATTCACCTTCTCACCACGTGTGAAAAATAGATAAACCTGGATTCTTTCTAAAAGGAAACTTTTTTGTCAGCCGTGTGGCATTCCAGCCAGCTTTACAGCTGGGATTTCTTACGTGAAATGAACTAGAAATGAGTGAAACATCAGCACTGTTAATTGTAACGTGACCTATAATCCCATCACTGCAGCTGTACCACAAACTATAACTGCAGTCATTATAACTGCAGCTGCCATTCCACAAAATTTAATAAGGCAACTGACAGACCCGGTAAAGACACAAGATGTTGTTAATGCAAGTTAAAAACATACGGCAAAGAGAACCATAAGTTACCACAGTATATAATCAGCACCCAACGTGCCAAAGTTTGTCCTTCCAAAGCAACACTCAGAAGATTCTTTGCAGCTTGGAACTCCAGATATTTCACCAAAAGGGGGAAAAATACATCCCCCACGTAAGAAAGTGATCAAAACTCGTTAAGCATCACGACCAATACAGCTCCGTGTAGAAGCAGCCTCACCCTGCCCACCTCAGCGCTCTCCCTGGCTGGGCACACGGGATCTGCCCGCTGCGGCCGTCAGCCTAATGACTACGGGAGCAGAACAGGACTCAGCCTCGGCCCGGCTGTGCCCCACTCGGTAGCGGCCTCTCCAGCGCGGCCCGCCCCGCAGCTTCCCGCCCACCGCGGACGCCTCTCCACCCCTGGATCCGCGCCGCCCCCGCGCCTCAGGGAGAGCCACCGCTTGACATTGGGAGGACGCCGGCGCGCACCTTCTTGCCTGCAGTAGGACATGGCGGAGCCGCCCGCTGCCTTCCCGCTCGGTACGCCCGCAGACCGGCTCCGCCGCCGTCCTGCGTCCTTCCCGCCCGCCCCGCTCCTCCTCCGCCGGCACTGCCGCGGCGCCGCTCAGCTCCACGCCGTGACCTCTGACCTCCGGAAGCACACGCCGTGGCCCGTGACATCCGGAAGCGCACGCCCTGACCTCCTTCGCCAGCTGCCGCGCGGCCTCTCCGAAGCGGGAAAGGAGCAGCCAATCCGGGCAGAGCGCGCCTCGGCGCTGGACTACACCTCCCGGCGTGCCTTGCGCGCGCCGCGTGGGAACTACGTGTTCCGGCGTGCACCGCGGTAGCGGCAGAGCGGGGAGAGCTTGCGGAGAGGTGGCTGTGGGTGTGTCTGCTGGTGAGCGGCTGTTGCCGGCGGGCTCTGCGGGCTGCTGAAGGAAAGAAGCTGAAGATGTCGAGGAACGTAAGTTAGAGCGCTGCGTGCGGCGGGCTGCCCGCTCCCGTTGTCCCGTTGCGTGAGGCGGGGTGCCCCGAGCGGCTGTCACGTCTCGCACGGCTCCTGCAGAGCGGCCTCGCCTCCTGCCCTCGCTTGCCGTTACTGCTTGGCTGCTTCCAGAGCTCTGGTGCTCCTCACGCCCTGCGGTGTTGGTTCTCTAACGTAGCAGCGCCCAGGGCGGCAGCGGCGGTTTGTTCTGAGGTCTCTTCTCGTACCCCAGGGTGCAGTGATTGTATGGTGTGCTGGCGCTTGGAAACGAAACGTGTTATTTATAGCTGTGCTGTAGTTGGTCTGGAATTTGGGAGTATTGCTCAGTTAGTCACTGGGTGTGGATACCAAGTAGGGAACGTAGGGTTGAAGGCTGAAGGGTGTGTGAAGGGATGTGCTGAGCTGCTGTTATAGCCATTGTTTTCCTCTGTTAAGGTTTATTTATTGACTGTATTTCTGATGTCAACATTGTGGTAAGGCATTTAATAAGTGTGGGGAGGTTTAGGTCCAGTGCAAATGGTGCTGTTTAGCAGTGGTTAAGCAGTTTAGCAAAGGTAAAAAGCTTGTTGTAAAACAAGCTGTCCCCTTTTATACCAGTGTTACATTTTTGGTTTATTTCCAACAGTTCTCTGATACAGGAAGCAAAAAAGAACATGTCAAAATCACAAGTGAAGCCAAGCCAGGGTTCCTGGAAAGGCTCAGCGAGACTTCTGGAGGCATGCTCATAGGACTCGGGACATTTCTTCTGTCCTTCTACCTTCTTTTTACCAATGAAGTAAGTGAAATACTATCAGTATTTATATACAGCTGTAAAATGGTAATGCCACGGTGACATTCAACTAGTTTTGCATGTATAGGGTCACAAAAATGGTTGTGCTGAAGTTTTATTACTTCTTCAATAGGAAGAGAGCAATGTGCCTGGAGAGGCTGAAATCATAGAGCCGGAGATGTTCTTGCTCTGGAACAGCGTGTGATAGAAACAGTGGCAGTGTATGATGAGGATTAAGATCCTAAACCTATGAGCTCCTGGGGAAACAGGCTGTAGTACTATTGAAAGAAGCTGAACCAGCCATGTTCAGTTCTTCTGTCTCTATCTTGAGATAACGTAGAGAACTCATTTTTAGAGCTGTTGGAATTTTGCTAAAGGAATTAATATTCAACGTTGCAAAAGTGAGGGTGTTAATTAATCTCATTGTTACTTTGTTTTGGTTTTGGATTTGGAGGAGAATGGTGAATTGCAAGTGTGCTTTTCAGATTATGCCTTGAGGATGGACATCTGAGAAGTCCTTGGGGTCTGCAGATCACTTGTCTTCTACCATTTTCACAGAATAATGACATACTATTGATTCTCCACAACTTGATTTTGCTTTTCTTGACTACAGGGACGAGCTTTGAGGACAGCTAAATCTCTTGATGAGGGACTTTCTCTTGTGATCCCTCTTGACAACATTCACAGCGTGTCTCAACAGAATGAGGGGAGTCTGGTGCACTTAGCTGGCGCTCTGAGCACAGCAAAGGTAAATAAAACTAGCATCTTGGATATGGGAGAATCTCAAGTTTGGAGGGATTGGAGTGTTGAAATACTCACAGATACCTCACTAATTCCTACTGACTTGTGTTTTCTTTGTATTTCCAATAGCCTTTGTTTGATCCCAGCTATGGGCTGTCTGTCCAGGCTGTCAAGCTGAAGCGCAAAGTGGAAATGTACCAGTGGGTAGAATATGAAGATTCCAGGTGAATGCAACAGGTCTTTAAATGTTGTATTAACAGGGTCAATTGAAACAGGTATTCTGCATTGAGCTGGTGTGTGTGTGTTTGTGTGTGTGCTATTTGGTTTCTCACTTCACCCTTTTTCTTTGCAGGGAGTATGAAGAAAATGGTGAGATCAAGAAAGAGACAAAGTACTCATATGGTAAGTTGATCAACAGAAAATCCTTTTGTTTTTATGCCTGTAGCTTTGGGCTTTCCTGTGTATCTGTCTTGAATTTGTTGAAAAACATCTATTTTTTTTTGTTGGGAAAGAAAACTATATAAAGAAATAAGCAAAGATTCTGTTTGCTAAGTGAATGGCAGCATGTTGAGAGTTTTAGTGTTCATATAAGCTAATGAAAACCTCCAGCACCTTCTGATGTGTGTTGTGGCTTTTGGCAAATGCTTTTTTGGCAGGAGGAGAACTGGAACTTCTAATCTACCTGATGGTGGAAAAATACTCTGAGTCATCGTATCTCTGGAGCTTATTCTCTGTGCTTCATTTATCCCCAGCTAAAGCCTATGGACATGTATGTGGGTGTGCAGTGATTTCTGGGTGTGATCATAAGAATACTCCAGCTCAGTGAAGCATGAGACCCTGCAGCACAGAGATAACTAAGGAGCAAAGCTAGTGCTATGAGGAACAGCCATTAAAGAACAACAAAAAAAAAGCTATGCTCTCAGAATTGATGGATTCTGTCCAGTTGAAGTCTTTATATTACCAGGTGTTGTGGATTGGCCTTGACTGGCAGCCAAACAGCACACAGCTGGTAGCTTGTTTCAACTGCAGTGGGACTGGAGGAGACAATAGGAAGAAGAACAAGAGCTTGTCAAATCAGACAGGGAGATCTCTTACCATCGTGGGCAAAACAAACTTGTTTTGGGGAGGGCTAACATATTGTCAACAAAATTAAATACTTAATTAATGATTTGGGTAGTAGCAAAGCACAGTTACTCCCACTGTTTCCAGATTCAGATTCACTTCAGACATCTCTACCCTTGTTTTTGCTTCAGGTTTCACTTGGTGCCTTAAGCGAGGCAGGGAGCAGTGTGGGGGTGGGTTTGCAGTCTCTCTGCTACTCATTACACCTCATGCTTCTTCCCTACTCCAGTGTGGGGAGGCCACAGATGCCAACCCTGCAGCCCTCCTCACAGGTACCAGAATTTTGACACACAAACCTGGTACACTAGAATATCCTTCACAATGATCTCCTCTCTAGTGTTTAGCCAAACTCTCTTCCTTCCTCTCCTCTTCTCTATGGAAGCATAGAGCATTGTATTTAGTGCAGAGACTGCTCAAAAAAGGGGACTCTAGTTTTGTAGGAGTTGCAAGAAACCTACTTATACCTATAAGTGCTACTTACAAGGAATGTGCTCTGTAGTGTGGAGAGGCTGCTGTGGCCTGAATCAAAGCAGTGCTACGCGTCTGTGACAGTGGCATGTACAGATATCTTCTGTTTTACTTGACTGCACTGAAATCTGCTAGCTCTGGCAGAAATCCCAGCTTTTCCTTGCTTGCTCCCAAAGTGAGGAGCCAGAAATTGAAGCCTGATCAGGGAAGATGCCAACGGCAAATCTCCCACCATGCAAAGCTGAGTTATAATTTTATTCCTAAAGTTCCTTTTTTTCCCTGAGTCCTTCCATTTGTTGTTAATATATTATGAGATCAGATTTAAGTATCATTATAGACTATCCCATCAGGTACCTTGATGTTAAAAAAAAAAAAAAAGTGTAATTTGGAACTGATTCATTGATTTAGAGGTGTCATCAGTAACTAAGATCCAAGTGGCAGTTATTGCTCTCTTCTCACCCTTCAATATCGTTTTCCTTAGATACTGAATGGAAATCCGAAGTTGTGAACAGCAGGAATTTTGATCGAGAAATAGGACACAAAAATCCTAGGTAATTTACCACCAATACAGTCCCTCTAGATTCTGTCAATGTATCTGATTGATGATGAGAACTCAATGATAAATCTTCATGACGTAGCAAAGTAAATGGAAACTCTTTGTCTTTTTGTAGTTGGGAAAAATTAGGTGTAGACAGCAGTTCGAAGCTGCCTAATGGAGCCAGAATCCAACATTTCTGATGGAATGCTGCTCATTAAATGGCTTACATCAGGTTGCTGTTTTACTGCTGTGCCACATGGATTGCATAGGGGAGAACTGAATGGGTTTCTTTTTGACTTTGGCTAGTTCTTCTATTAAAAAGAGAGTGAGAATAGCAAGCATCCCGCAAGCTTGCCATACCACTTGCATGCTGCTCTTCTAAGCTAGCATGTATGAACTCAGGCTTATTTATAGCAATTGCCCACATATAACCAGTTTTGTATTTCTCTCAGCTGCAGCATTTTAATTATGTACACTGTGCCATTTTTAGCTTTAAGTTTAATCTTGCTTGCCATCCTCACAGCACGTGTTTGGTTCCTTAGAGTGTGGGATACCATTTGGCAAAAAAAACAAAACAGGATTTAAATGAAACTTAGAACTCCAGCTAACGTCCATAACTTTATTTTGGTACCGTGGGCTCATCTGAATAAACTGCCCATTATTTGGAAGTTTTACCTTGAGAAGAAAAATGAAGACCTGTATTTTTGGTTATAAATCCCAAATAACAAAGACCTGTTAAGATGAGAGGGAACACAAAAAGGATGCACAGATGGCAAACCTTGTCTCTCTTCTCCAAACACATTTTTTTTGCTAATTAACTTTTTCTCCAAGCATTTTCCAGTAAATCCAAATTTACACTTGAACAAAGGGAATATTTTTTATTAGTACTATTGCAGTATATCATTAAAAAGTGCCACATCTAAGGACAGTTCCACTAATTATAGTGGTACAAACCTAAGAGTCTTAACTGTGGTGGATCCTTGCCTGAAACAGAACTGTGAATGCAGACGTGC